CTTGAGCTCGAATTTGGTCATTGCTGCTGTGACAACATTTCTTCTGTGTCATTGCTTCAAGGTTTTGATTATTAGCTTCAATAATCAGCTTGCTGCTTAGTTTTTTTAACGTCACAACCTAGTTTGTTCTGCTTGGTTTAGTGATCTTAACTAGATTAGTGGCTAGCATCTGTTCGTGTTTAGAGTCTCAGAAAGCAAAGAACTCATATGATTGTTTCTTGACAAAGGAAAAAATTTGGAAGTGTTTCTTCCGTGATAGAATCAGAGTTGTACAGGCTTCGTTGCATTTTATATATCACTCAATGCAACTAACTTAAATTTTTAGCACTTGTTTTTTGCAAGAAAAAACCGAATACATGTTTTTTACACACCTTCGGTTGCCAATATAAAAACTGCTCCCTCAGTTGTTCAATTTGCAACTGGCTGCATAATAATCGTTGTGCTTTGATTCATAAATTCTTTTATACAAAAATGCATTCAAAAATCAATCATACAAAAATGCAGTTATGTATAAATAATAAAAGATTATGATTGAATCAATTAATATATACAAGCTACTTCATTGGTTTTAAATGTTTTTGGTAAAACATTTAATATATACATTCAACAGTATTTCCCAGAATCAGTATTTCCCAGAAACCATTTACTGGGAAATACTCGAATATTGAAATTCTTTTTTTTTTCAAGTTTTACAATAAATTTCATTTGGTTTCATAATTGATCCCATACTAAATAAGTTTTTTTTTAATGCGTATTCTTTTCAAAAACACATTGTAAAATTTTGAAACCAAATCAACAAGAAGTTTGAACGAAAAATTTTTGCCTTATTATTGCCCACAACAGAAAAAAGCAAGTGAAAAAAGATTTGTCTGTTACTATTGTTTGTGTTAATCTGAATCAAGGCCCTAAACGGATTCGTTTTTATATTAAAAAATCCAGAAAATTTCGCAAAACTACCAGACAAAAAATAATCAGGATATTAATTTGCCTTTGATCGATCCGTTTCAAAAAATTTTAATCAGTCCTACAAACCGATTTTTCGAAATTATTTTCACTTTTAGTAAACTCAAATGTTTTAGCCTAAAAACTTAAATTAAAGTCAAATTTTCATGTAACAAAGGTTTTTTGATCAGTTTACTGACTTGAAATTGAATTATATCTCAAAAATGTCAAAGCAATTTTCTTGACACTGAGACAACTTTTGAAGGTGCTTACGTTTGAAAATGCTTCAAGTTGACATTTCGGTCGACCCATTCCGATTATGATTTTTGGTACTTGATTTTGCGTGGAAAACATAAAACACAAAATTAAAATTCAAAATACCTCCCCGATTTTAATAGCTGGAATACTAAGGATAATCCATTGGTGTGCAGTAAGCGCAAAATTTTCTGACCACACAGAAAACAAAAATTGATATGATATTCTTGTTTTTTTTTTCAGTTTTAGTCAGTGAGACGAAAATGAAGTGTACAATGACTCATAGGAAACACTCAAAACAGCTAGGTTATTGAAACCAAGCCAGTAAATTTAGATAAAAAGCTCAATTTGAAAACTTTTTTAAAGAGTTTTTTGGAACCTGATTCACAATCAAAATTGCTTGAATGTGATATTACGCCTGACCCCGTTTTTTGACATTTACAAAGTCTGGAAGAAAAAAATTACACCCGATTCAACCATAATTCCCTCCCACTTTTTAATAAGAATAACAAGTTGCCATAAAAGTAACATAAATAACTTAAGCCACAGTTCGCAGTGCAAAAAATTAAAAACGGAAACAAAGTTCGAGAGTTTTTTCAATGAGATTGTTGAATCACAGGAAAAACTAAATTTTATAATAGAATAATCAATCTAAGGACAGATTCAGGATTTTATTCGAAAGGACTGATTTTTAATTTTTTTTTTGCGCCTCATCAAGTATTTAAGAAATCAGGTAAAAAGTCAAAAGAACCATTTTTTGTCTCTTTTAGGAAGCTTCTGAACAATAAACTGAGTCAAATAAGCGCGCACTTTTTTCTCAAAAATAGGTAGCTATTGGAGCCAAAAACAAATAGGTAGCTATTGAAGCCAAGTAACAAATGTGAATCCTCTGAGTGTGCTGACAGTTGGATCAATCCAATTTGGCCGAATCCCCCTACAGCCGTCCTATCAACCCTGATTCCGCCCCTGAATAAACCTCTTATAATAGTTAAATGCAGAAAATTGAGTTTGGTCCTAACTGAAGACTACGTTTCATCCACTCCGAGACTACATTTGAAACCCATTTTTCTCAAGTTTTTTCGCAATAAATTTTTTTATGGAAAAGAAAAAAAACTGAAAAAGCTTCAAAATGATACTACATTGAACTAATTAAAACTGCTTATGTACAAAAAATTGGGAGAAAAAAACACATTTCAACCAATTAGAATTGAGTACTCAAAATATCAGAGAAATCGCAGAAATCTTAAAGAAAGCAAATAAACTCTGAAAGAAATCTAAAAGAAACGAGGCCATTAAAATCAAAATTTTGACCAATTAGACAAAACAGGTACAAATATTTTTGAAATTTTGGAAAAGCCTACACCGATTTTAAAAATGAAAAGTAAAACAATTATTTCATTTTATATCTGCACAAATTTTGTAACTGTGCTGCTGTAATTTATTTTCGGTTAATAAGGACTACTGTTTTCTGCAGAAGGCAATTAGTCAATAGGAAAGTCTGACAATTTTGATTGGTTGAAAGTTTTCCATTATGCTGTCCGTCCATCATGAAGAATACCCCCTTGGGGAACCTACTTGAACGATTGCCGCTTAGCATGCGACTATTTGCGCAATTAGAATCAGAATTGAGTTTGTTTTCTCACATTTGCCGCAGAAAATCAAACTGATTTGTGTTGTATCAAACTGAGTAATTATTTTAACTGCACTTGCTATGCGGCACGCAGGCATGTCGCTACACCCTCGGTTATTGGGTTGGTCGGGCAAAAATGATTTTTGCAGCAGAATATGAACGAAGAGGGACACTTTGGGTGGCCAGGGTGCCGAATTTCTGAAAAAGAGTATCGAACCCCTGTCTCAACTCAATTTCTCTCGACTCCCCTCCCCATTTCCCTTGTCATTCCATTTACATAAATTTGCTTTTGAACTAATTCCTTAAAATTGCTTTGTTAATGAACAACAATCAAACAATAGTGGTAAGGCGTTCACTTACAAATAGCCAGATCGTGTATTTGATCCCATGCCATGACAATGATGGCGTGTGAGGACGAGCTCTCACTTGACCTCTAGCTTCAGGTCTACCACAACCTGACCAAAATTGGCTGCAATAGTGGTAACACGTTAAACTTCTAGACGCAAAAAAACGGCCTCGAGTCGCAAAAAACAGCTTCGCTCAACACAATAACACAGTCTGGAATGTGGGGAGATAATACAAATGGACTATCCTTGACAGGACTGTAAAGGCCTACTGATAGATCCTCTGCGATTCGCAGGAACTACATAAAAAAAATCACCACAAATAAAAAAATATTAGTTAAAATCTGTAACCTAGGTTCTACATTAAGTTGCTTTTCTTCGAAATGCCCCTTTTTAAGTGCACTGAAATAAGGAGTAGTCAAATTTTGAAGTGTGATCAAAATCATAATTTTTTGTTTTCTTCTCTATGTCTTTAATCATTGGACTTGTTTGTATGCTTGCGTGTGCGTATGTCTTTCTCACTTCACTTTCTGTATGCTATCGCAACCCTTCTAATTAATGAGCGATGGTTTATTTGATGGTTCTGTGTAAGGGACCTGGGATTCCTATCGGAGTATGCGAAGGGCTACTCGGCGGAGAACAAGCGGAGACAGCAGAAGTGGATGGAGGAGTACGAGAGGGAGGCGAGAGACCGGGAGAGGAGGAGGAAGGAGAGGGAGTTGGAGAGGAAGGCGGAGATGAGACGCATCGACAGTGACTGGGAAAGGTAGGAATCATCAAAAAGACATCTGTTGCTTGAAACAATGTCATCAATGGATGTTGAGCCTTTTTCTTAGGTTTTTGAAAAAACTTTTAACACCACAACAGACCGAAGGGATTTATAGTCAAATTGTAAAGTTTGAGGCTGGAATCCAAAACGTTTATCAAAATGTTTCGAATTTGCGTAAGTTTTATGTAAATTGGAACAATGACTAATTTCCAAGAATTTTTCATAAATATTTTAACGTTTTTTGTAGTAAGTTTTGACAATTTATGGATTTCTAATAGCGCTTAAAACAAAGTGATGTTTGACGGCACGGGTCGAGGGAGGTCCTCACGTTACGTTTCGACCATCTTGATCGAATTTCGATGTTTTGAATGTCTCGACCAAAGCTGTTCTTTTCCAAAATTCACTCAAAACAAGGTCAATTGACAATAACAAGCTGTAAATAGCGCAGAAGTCAAACACAGTTCAATTTGCTAAAAATATTGTACAAATAAAAAAAGAAATTGATAATTAAACATTTTCCCAACTCTTTTTTGGAATACAGGTCAAGACAAAAAAAATCCAATTTGAAAATCGGACTCTATGAAAGCGCACAATGTTTGGATCTTTTGTGAACAACTTGACCAAAATACTTGCTTTTACTTTAAAATTCAGCTCTGAAGTGCTCTATTCTACTAAACAGTATTTATAACCAACAACTTATTTTATGCTATTTGCTTTTTTTCTTTTTTATGATATATTTAATAAAATACATAATAGGAAAGTTAGACTCACTTATTTCACGTACAAAACAGTCCCGGACAAAACAGTCAAAATAAAAAAAATCAACAAAAAAACAGCTTACCAACAGGGTAGGATTGTATACAAAAATAAGAGCAGGTTATCACCCCAAAGCCATTCAAAAGCCTTCTGTACAAAATTTTTTATGATCCTTCACAATTTTAAGCCGATCTGGAACCTAGCAAAATCAGTGTTTTGTCAAGTATCAGTGTGTTGCAAACGCAAAGCACTGGTTAATTACTGCTTTATATACGCTATCATGTTGGTGTTTCGACAATTGAAAATGAGGAGAAAACTTTGAATTCGGGTGTGTTTTAGTTTTTTCTTTTTTTTGTTTTCCACGAAAAATCAGATACCACAAATAGTCATTGGACATGGTTTTGAACGATTTTTAAAAATTCAAAATTAGTTTTTGAAAAACGGGCACGAAGTTTTTGATTTCTTGTCTATTTTTGAGCAATTAACGATAGTTATATGATAATTTACTTTTATTTGGACTTTGGGTCAAACAAAAAATATAACTAACAAAACTTGTTTTGGAGTTACAATTTTCTGCTCCGGTGACAATAAAAGTTTTAAAAACTTATAATTAGTGTCCAAAAACATAGAAACTTGATTCAAATTTTTTTTTTTGATTTATTTCTTTTTAATTGTGTTTGTCGTTCTTTAAAAGACAAATGATGTCGATTTTATCTAATTCACTTAGTTTCTACCTGTTTGTATAAATCTCAAATAACGCATCGCACTAAAAGCAAAAAAGATTCGAAATTTTTAATTAAATTTTAGTTTTTAATCCGACCATTTGAAAAACGTGGAGGAACTTTGTATTCGGGTGTGTTTTAGTTTTTTCTTCTTCTTTGTTTTGTTTTCTGGAAAAAATTAGGTGCCTCAAAACATCATTGGAATGAGTTGGGTGATATATCATATTAAAGCGCTTTTAGTCGTGATTCCAACGATTATAGAAAAAGTTTAGAAAAATTTTTCTCAGTGTCGAGAAAAACCAGCTTAAAATTTTTGTTTTTTGTTCTAACTTCAAGGTAATAAGGTGAGTTTGTAGGCTTACAAAAGCTTATTTATGCTGATTTCAAGTCTTGAAAATATTATTTGAGTTTATTAAAGTTAATGTTTGTGGTTGTTTTATTTAGGAATCAAAAGCTTAAAAATTCAAAAATCTTCTGCAAAAAAGTTGGAAACACTTTTTGTAAATTTTTGAATTTATAGCAATTTTTTGTTTGTTTTTGTAGTTAATTTTCTACAAAAACTGTTTTTCAAATCAGCTCTTTTTGTTCGTTCATTTCTTTTTATCTCGCAGAAAAAAAAACGAAATTTTGTGCTACTTGCGCAGAACCGTTTTGAGACGTAATTAGTTCGCTTAACTTTTGTTGCTTACTGACCAACTTAAATTTAAAAACGCCGTCGAAACATTGCTGCGCTTGAAAAACTGCAGCTAGGTTATTTTGACTAAAATGTTTTTGATTATGTCTGAAATTTCAGAGTAAATCTGATCTTTTGTACTGAAACAAATGTTATTGATGTAGCTAATCGAAAACAATTTATTTGGAAAGATTTTAATGATATGTCATTTTGTAAAACTTGCACTTCGCCAGCCATCAGAACATCAAATCAGCGGAACAGATTTTTAAGTTTAGAATTTGAAGGAGCCAAGTTTGTTATTTTACATCTTGTTCAAAAACGTCACAATGATATCAGCCTTGTATTTAGCCATAATTCCATTAAATTTTTGGGTTTCATACCGGATACTCTCAGCACTAATTTTCAATGCTCGGCATTTTAAAAGATTTTGATTTATTGGAAATTTTCTCAGTTTATGTTTAGTTTTTTGGAAGACATGTCAAGCTATTAAAACCTGAATGCCGAAATTTAGTTCACATTAAACTTGAGACAGGAAACATTATGAGAGATCTTTTTACTCAAGGAAGAACAAGTACCATACGATTGCTTTTATATGAGCAAAACTTTGCATGTTTTGACTGCCTTTTGGTATCTGAATTGGTTTTTAGATTGAGAAATTTTCAAAAACAATCTTGTAACAAATAATTCAAAATTTTAGAAAACTTTGGGCGAATCTCTCCGCCCACACGGATTGTACTTTAAAGGTGATACATTTCTATATATTATGTAATGTTTACAAAAATTAATTTTCGTCAATTCATTCGTAAATAATTGTTTGTGCCAGATCATATCGCCGCAAAAATTTACCACAGGTTAAAAAAAAAACGTTTGAATTTTGAGCTCAAGACATCAATATTTTTCAAGAACCCCGTCAAAGCTTGTTAGTTCGAAAGTGTACTTTCGTCTTGACTTTTTCTGTCATTCTCTCGAAACTTGGAACAACAGCAGTTGACTGCTTGCATACATCGATGAAAAACATGGTAGTTTGTCATTGTAGGGTGCGGGCTCATTTGAAGATTTTCGAGTTTCCTTTTCATATTTCGACTTCCTCAGATTACAACTATTGTTTTGTTTGAATTTAGAGAAAAGAGAGAGCGTGACAGGAGAGATGCAGACAGAAAGGGGGAGAGGGATGCGGAGAGGAGGAGGCGGGAGAAAGAGTGGGAGTTGCAGCAGGAGGAGTGGGAGAGACAGAAGGAGAGGAGAGAGAGGGAGAGAGAACTGCTGAGGAAGGAGAGGGAGAGGATTGAGCAGGAGGCCAAGAACAAACAGAAGTTCGATCCCCGGTAGGCTCCTTATTTATTTTCTCCTTAAAAATATTAAAAAAACATAAACATGGATAAAAAGAGTGCAATTATTTTAAACTCAATATTCCCAGTTTAGTTGCGGCATGTGGCTCAAAAACTTGTCGTTTATTCTTTTTTCGAAAATTATATTTTTATGAATTTGTTACCTAGTTGTGTTCTAGATCATTATGTCTCAGCTAAAAACCAGACTGAAATGAAGAATTGGTGTTCACCTGAGTTTTTACTTCAACAACTTCAATAAAAACGAAGTTCTTTCGGTCTAAAGTACTTTTTTTTTAGCAGAAATGCCTTTTTTTTCCAAAAAACAACAAGCCAAATGAATTGCTATCAAAGGCACTTTTTAAATGACAATTGTCGCTCACAAGGAAAAAGATGCCACAAAAAACAGTTGAAAAACAATTTCTGAAAACTATTGATTTCATTTTACCTTTTTTGTTGTCAGGGTGCACACGGTGGATTTGCCTGATAGTCAGGGGGAGGGAGAGGTTGCGAAGGCCACACCAAGTGAGGTGGCGGACACTGTGGCGACTGTTAGGTCCCCCCAGCCCCAGACTAGACCGAAGAAGAAGATGTTGAATGAGGTGTCCGAACACGACCCTGGAGAAGTGAACAATGACAGGGACCCTGGAGTGTGGGAAGGACAGTGAGTCATTCATTCCTGCATTCTGATGCCATATTTTTGAGAGAAAAAAATGCTTTATTACGCTTACGATTAGCAAACGTTATCAAATCGGAATGTAGACCTTTTTTTCGGGTTAACAACTAGTCTAACAAAATCAGTTGAATCATTTCACATGCTTTTCACCAGACATGCTCAATTTCATGAAAACTCAAATTTATCAACTGGCTGGGTTGTAGTTACTAGATTAGTTTCATGGGCACTTGAAACTTTTAAGCGTTTTTTACATAATAGGTTTTTTTTGGCTCAACTGGTGTCTGCTCAAAATCTGTCGGCCTAAAACTTAAGTTTTTTTTTCTCAAAAACCCTTCTACCTATTTTCGAAAAAAATGTTTCATAGAAAGACCGCCTAAACTCTTTTTAAATTTTTCTCAAAAACTAACTGCCAAGCATGAGAATGTGGGTTCAATGAAGCTAAGGTCCCCTGCGGCTACTCACAATTTGTTCACACAGTTATTCTCCTGGAAAAAGTCAATTTTTTGATTTTTGAGAGATTATTTAACTTTATGATTCAAACCAAAAACTGCCCTCTTATAATTGAGTTTGTGGATTCAATCCAAAAAGCGGGCTATGGGAAGCTCATTTGCATACAAGACTGCGCCCATGTTTTTTGACACAAAAAGTAGTGGGTTCGGAAAAGTCAAACTTCTGATTTTTTGCCGTTTTTGATTTTTTGGTTTTGCTCGAGAACTAACCTGTCAAACCTTTTCTGCTAAAGCGACCACGCCGAATTTTGTAAAGCGAAAAAATGGTGATTTTCGTAAATGTCAACTTTCTGATTTGTTGACCGTTTTTCGGACTTTTCCCGAAAACCTTCCTGCGAAAACTCATATCATAGGTTTAATCGACCCAACATGTTGTTGGAGGCTTACTTTGATAGAATCTTACGCCTAGTTTTTTTTGAAGTAATAGCTTTCAAAAAGTGAAATTTTTGGACCGTTTTTAAGACGTTTTCTTGCTCTGCTCGAAAAATACAGTGCCAATTCTCAGGTTAAGTTTTCAAGCGCGTAACCAGGTTTTGAGAATCTTCTGTACTTTGCCGGCCACGACCTGTTCTGAGCAGAAAAATTTTACCGATTTCGGAAAGTCAACGTTTTGAATTTTGACCGTTTTATAGAAATTTTTCGAATTTTCTTAAAAACTACCCTATCATATCTGAGATGGAAAATTCAATTGATAGAAGCGGCAGCGCAAGTTTTTTCTGCAGAAGCAGCTACTCCTTTACTTTTTGTAAGAGAAAAATTTGATCCTCGGGAAAACAAAATTTTGACTCTTCTCGCTTCTTTTAAGGTTGTGGGGCAATGTCCAACTTTCGAAAATAAGCATTTCGTCCCAAATCTGTATAACAAATTCAAAAAACATCAAATACGTACCACCAGCCTTAGCTGAGGCCTAGATATCTCTGCTCAGGACCTACAAAAATGTTGATTCACCTAGTTTTTTCAACGTTTTATATTTGTGTTTTCGACTTATGCTTTTTGTTATGATTAGGTTGCATCACAAGTTGTGAGAAGCTCTGCTTCGCCTCTGTGTTTAAAATTTTCTTGATCGTTTTGCTACGAATCGTTATTACACAGTTAAAAATTGAAGAAAAACACGTAGCACCAAAATAACGACTACAATCAGGGGCGGATCTAGGATTTTTTCGTTGGGGGAGGGCGGATTTTCAAAAAATTTGTCGACTTTTTACGTAGGCCAAATTGATTTTCCGGGCACTCCTTAAAAAAGCTCTTTTCAACACCCCCCTCCCTCCGCATTTCAATTTCACCATATTCATAGCTGTTTTAAATGTTATATCGGCTACATGCGCGATCAATGTAAAGTATGAAGACCAAATCTGTTCACAATTTTTAATTTGTTTACCATGCCAAAGTTTATTGCATTATGACGAAGTTAAAATAGTTTTTACAATTTAAATTTTAAACCTGGGGGAGTCGAAAAGAGTCCGTAGAACAATATAAAGACTATTTTGACAAAAATGGTTGCGCCGCAGGCAAAATTTTTTAAAAAACAGACCAAAAAATATGACTTTTTTGGACTTTTTTTGGACAGTTTTGACCAATAAATGGTGTTGTTTTTCGGCGCGAGCTCCCCACAAAGCGCCAAAAGGGAGATGTTACAATAGTACCAAAGGGACAATCCTTTGGGTAGTCAGGGGGTCAAATCCTTGAGGAGAAGAAAAAGAAGCGTCCGCCCCACCTCCCCCCCCCCCCCCCTAAACCCGCTACTGACTAAGATTATAATTGTGCTTATTTTTTTGATATAAGTTGCTGAAAATTTTTGATCCTCAATTTCTAAGCAAACCAAATTATTATCGAACCCAAAAACCTGTTGGAATGCAACATTTTGCATTATTTTTTTACAATTTTATTCTTTTATGCTCTATTGCAATACTTCGTTTATTCGTAGCCTCTTAGACATTTTACCCCGATGACGCATAGTTTGACCGAAAACCCTCGGCAATAATACGTTTGAGTTGACATGTTTTTTTTTCAGCGGGCACTTCAAAGACGAGCGGGTGATCTTCAATTCAGACAAGGGCTACATCAGCTGGACCAAGCCCAAGGGGTCACTGGAGGTCATTTACAAGAACCCAGATGGACTCCTCCAATTCGGGTGAGCCAATCTCCATTACAGAATGATTGCAAATGCTGTTTATGTAACAGTCATTAATATTCCATGTAAAGTTGAAAACAATTTGTTAATGTTATATTTATATATTTTATGATTTTTAGTATAATGCTAACTATTCTATCTCAAGTTACTTATTTTGGTTTGACTAACTCAACTTAAGTTTTTTTTGAAAAAAAAAATAATTTTTTTAAATGCGTTTGCTGCTCTGGAACACTATTGATAGATAATAAGAACAATTGCGGAGTTATGTGCTACTTTATCTAAGACGCCCGCTGTTTTGCCCCAATTCAACACATAATTGATTTTATAGGAGTTTTTGCTTCAACATCATGCAGCGGGCGCATTCTATGCTTCGAGGTACCGTCCCTCGTACCTCAAGTGGTTTACTTCATTTGGCGAACAGATCATAAAAAAATCATTACTTGCCCGACACATGGGATGTTGTTAAGATGTCAACAGCTTTAATGAGATGCCAACTATGTTTAGGTGCAAAGTGGAGCCTCGTCACCCAGGCATGAAGGTCTACGAGGTGCGGGAGGACGCCGAGGTCCTCATCTCCACTGGGAAGGGGGAGGGGGCACAGGGGGCACTGGAGTTCACTGCGATAGACGGGGTCGTCATCATCGTCATCGAGACATACGAGGACGAGGCAGACCTCCCGGAGAGGTTCAGACTGGACTGGGCCCTCCACGTATAAACTTGCAACACCCCTCCAATATGAAGAGGAAAAATGGAACACAAACAAACAATTATTATTCTTTTATACTCATTACAGCACATAATTACAGTAACATCTCACCGAACCCGAAAAAATAAACAGACATTGCAGAAACTTAACTTGATTTTTGGCTTTAGAAATTTACATTGGCAAAAGTTCGCTCATAATTATCAATGTATTGGTCGATTTACTGTAGTTTTGTCAACTTTTGTACACTTTGTTAAACAAGGAAACCAACTTTGTAAAGTTGAGACAGGATAGACTAAACTCAATTGAATAAAACTGATCATTATAACAACAATAAAGTAAAAAACGCGGAGAACTAAGATGAGCGGGTTCCTTGTCTTCCAAAACCACTTCAAAAATTGAAATCACGCAGATATTCAAAAGCTTAGAAATTATGCGAAAAAAATTTGAGAAACGAGACCAAAATATATGTTATTGGTGTATTTAATAATTCACATCTAATCAGACGGTTTTTTTAAACTTCAATTAGTGTACCTTTCAAAAACGCTGTAAAAGCATTATTATTTGGCGTGCTTTTGTAGCCTTTGAGCTTGAACTGCATCATAAAGCTTTAAAAAATTAAGCTTTGACTCTGCAAGCTCATTAAGAACTGACAATCAAATATATATTTTTTGAAATTTTAAGTGACCAAAAACTACTAATTTTTTTTTCTTGAAAATGTTTTTTCATTAAAACTCTTAAAGAAATTACACAAAGGGGGAACTCTCATCAAAAAATAGCAAATAAATGGTTGAATATTTTAATTACTTTCGTCAAAATTGTTTCGGATTATAATTATATAAGTATATATGAATGCAAATTTTTGCTTTAATTTGCCCTGAAAATAGCAAAAAATATTAGAGAAGAATTTCAAACTAAAGTTTGTCTGAAAAAATTAGAAGAACTTTTAGTATATGAAAGCAAAAACTGATACTGTCAGAAAAATCGTATTAAAAACGTGCATAAAGTGTTTATTTAAGATATTACTAAAATGAAAACTCATGCTTTCTGTTTTCATTACATTAAAAGAATTTAGTCACCAGAAAAAAAACTTCTTATGACCCAAAATTTATTTTTTTTCGCTCCCTTATTATGAAAAAATATAATTAATGCATCTAAAGTGAGCAAATGAAGCAAGAATCATTGTGTATCAGGGCAAAGCTTTGAACGTCTCGACTACTCTGTAAATGCTCTCAATCAATTTTGTTGAACTATTTTGATATCTTCACATTTTGATCGTTTCTTTTTCGTCCACAAACAGCCAAAGTCAGATGGAAAATGTAAAAATTTGAGTTTTATAAGCAACTGATGTGACCATTTAGATGGCTTTAGCTCAATTTTCAAATGGCTTTGAGTGCAAATTGCGAACAATTCGCGTTACGCCTATAGCATCATATGTTGAATATTCATTTAAATTAGACCATAAAATTGACAAAGTAGCATTGACATTTTAAAACTTCGTAGTAGGATTTCAAAAATTCCTTTTAATAGAATGACAAAAAAACTGTCAAAAATTTGTTCGTCTTTTCAGTCAAATTGAATTGGGTTTATCAAAGGCAAGGTATTGCCTCCTTGACGCTCTGTTTATTTTTTTAAATGGAGAGATAGCAAGGTTTTCAGTTGATTGATCAATTGATTGTCAAACTTTCAACGCCTGTTTTGAGAGTCTAGCCGTGGTCACGAAAACAACTTGAACTTTAAAATCGTGAATTGCTTAGCAAAATTGAAGTTGATTCGTATCAGAATGTCAAAAAACAGGAAGCAACATTTTTCTGTTTCTTTTATGGATTTCGATTTCGAAAAAAGATTCGATTCGTTCTCTTCCCTCTCTTTTATTGTATTATAAGCCGCTATAAAGTTCAATGGTCGGACGGCAAAAAATTACATCAAATAGTGATGCTCTATGAAGGCAGAACTCCCGAAGGACCCAAGTGCAACTTTTTCCGATGTCTATAATTTAAGAGCCGATGTTAATTTATCCTCATTTGCATTCATTGCTTCTGTTGCTTTTTTTAGTACTGTTGTGAAACTCTTTTTGAATTGAGCCTCTAATTTTTAACGAAAAATTATTTCATATGAAAATCATCGACAGCAAAATAAGCCATTGAGAAAAAAACTTCTGCAGTAAGTTTTATCTTTGCAATCTTTTTCGCAAATATCTCGATAAACTTAACGCAAAATTCAGCAAAATACTTGGAAAACTTACAAATAAAAAACTTAGAAAAAAATTCAAAACTTTTTTGTCAATTTTAATAGAGACTGTAGCGACTAACAAAGAACCCCTATTTTACATCGAATTAGTGTGAATTTTCATTTTAAGAAGTGTTGATTTAGAAAAAACAATCCCAGCTTTTCAATCCCAGCGTAAACATAAAGCATTTGCTTATTGCGTATTATTACAAAACATTTCGATTCACCCATTACCATATTTTAAATCTACACTTAACCCAAAATAAAAGCACTTCAGAGTAGGTCAATATGAAGTCTATTTAATATTTTTGAAATTTTTCACTAAACACCCACTTTTCTATTTGACCTGTAATTTAATTATACCGATAGCTTAATAGCTACCAAATTACAGCTAAAAAGTTGGAAAAAAAAGATCAAAGCAAGCAAAAGACGAAAAAAAAGAACAAAGCAAAAATACCGGCGCCACCTGTAATTTTTTGCTCTCGCGTTTATTGTCCACCTACACCAACAAATTATTTTGCAAAGAATTTCAAAATAATCGACTAAGTCAGCTACCATAATTCCGTATCTCATTCATCGAATTCTTGACGTAACCTAAAGGTAAGCAACTTTTTTTGTGTCTTTCTAAGCTAAAAAAGAGCACCTTTTGTAAATTGTAAAGGAAATTGATCGATTAAATTTCACCATGAGCCAACCAGTTTTTTTGCTGGTACCAAAGTAGCAAAAACATTATCAAATTTCTGGAAATAAAATTAACGCCCATTGTTTCCATCGAAAACAATCGGGTTTTTTTTCGGTTATCTCCCCTAAATGATTTTTAAAAAGGTTGGAACAAAATTGAACCTATATTAATAGGAAAAGCAAAAGATGTCAAAATGGGCTGTTCGAGACAAAGTAGTTTACTTAGTAGCCTCAAACTGGCTCTTTTCTTTACTTTCTTGCGGTTTTTTTTTCACCAACTACAAAAAATTGAGATCAAATGAGTGTTAATTGTCGTTTAATTGTCGCATATCTAGACCAAATCGTTCCAATTTTTAGTTTAAAAAAGTCCCGATCAACCTAACGTCTGTTTGGTTGACACAGATATACTGTCACGGGACAAAAATGTTGCCGCTTTTTGATTTCAATTAAACGAAGTTTTTTTTCACATTTTCGCCTTCTTGTCTGCAACTATATAAGATTTAGGGTTCAAATTTTGGCACATGCTAGATCAAGTTATTTAAAAAAAACATAGCCGGGACAAACGTTGCGAAATCTAGTTTCGAAAGCGTAAAATTTCCGGTCACTCCTAATTATTTTAGAGGTGATATTGCTTAGGAAACATCTTCGCAAAAAAAGGAACTTTAATTATTGTCTCAAATTATTTCTAAGGGGAAGCTGATGAAATTGACTTACACCTTAAGCCGCTGAAAAACGGCATATAACGAAAATGAAAAACTTACTCGGCCCGGCGTCGAAAAACGGCTTAAGTTTATGAATCAAACTGCGCTAAGAATCAACTAAGGTCAACAAAAGAACTAGTTCAGCAAATTTTTTGGAAAAATTACTGTTCCGATACGTGCACAGGTACCTTATTAGCAGTAGTTTGTATAAATATTTTGTCAAACTTTTTGGTATGAGCTCCCACGAATTTTAACGTAAGTGTCAACAAAACAAATTTGACCTTTGTTAGAGACCGGGAAAAGTAATTTTTCAATTCTGCTGTCCGTTTTTCGGCGGCATAGAGTGTAACTTAAGTTCATCAGCTTCTCAAAGCAATAAATTGAGACAATTAATTCAAACTTCTTATATTGTTCACGATTTGCGATGATGTTTCCACCTTATTTTTAAATGTTTCAAAGAAACAAAAAGACAAACAGAAAACCACAAACTCGACTTTCTCGGTGCATCCTAGAACATCCGAGAGAAAAAAACTGAGCAAACTGTAGAATCATTTGATCCCAATTCAAAGATGTGTCAATTGCCAAAATTCATGACTCAATCAAGACTCAAATCAAGTTGCAATGTGGCACGTCAATGTGGCATTGATGGATGCACAAAAAGCATAACCGGCTCCTGCATGAGAAAACCATGAGGGACCAAACTGTCCAACGCAAGGACCAGTTAAATCAAGGTTCTGAGGCTTGGTCGGTTTTGTCGTTTTCGCTTAGAAGCAGCTGAACGTCACAGTTCAACAAAGTGCTTGTCTCTAGTATCAATAACAAGAATACAGAAGAAACAGTTTTGTCTAATTTTGGTGAAATATTCCAGAGAAACGCAAATGACAATGAGCGTTGCCAGGATTCATGGACCAGCTAATTTGGAATTAGACCAAGAGGCAACCCTCATCAGTGCAATTGGCAACAGAGAAGTGGTGAAAACTGTTCAGTCATTCACGGACCTTACATATAAAATTGGTTCCAACCAAACCGATTATACTGAATTCAAAAGACGATACAAGCATCTCTGGCTGCTTCTTATTGATTCTCTATCAAAATACAATGGGACTCTATCCCTCGGCAAGACGTGTTTAGGCCAATAAAACCCTCATATATATATCAGCTGGGTCTCAGAATCCTTGAGCAGTAGGAACTTTGCTGGGTTGGGCAGCTGGGAAACTAACTGGGACAATCAGAGTATCTTCCCATTTAGACGTCACAGCCGATCCTCTGGCAGAACAAGTGGAAAGTTGGTGGGATATAGAGTCATACGCATCTAACTGCTCCTTAAAAAGTTGATCAAAATCAGACAAAATGGCCAAGTTTATCTTCCAAGAAACCACTAGTTTTGATGGAGAAAGATACAAGGTTTCTGCTCTGCAAAAATGAAAAAATCGGTTCATCCAAAATTTTCTAATCAGTTGATGAACAACTCAGCTCTAGAAAGAAGGCTTCAAAAAGACTCAAACTTGAAAACAGGATATCAAGAGACAGTCAAAACTTATGAACAGAAAGTTATCATACAAGGAGTCAGTTGTGTGCTAAGAATAATATATCGGCTCCCAGAAAATGACATAAGAGCCAGCAGACAGTGTTGCAATGTTTTTTTTTTCAATTTTCCGTGACAATTATAAAATGCTATTTTTTGCGGTTCCTTCAGAGGAACGACAACAATTGAAAAATACGACCTTTCGAATACCAAAGATTTGTTTTATGCAAAAAGTTCTCCAACGTATGATAAATCAGAGCAAGAACAGATCAATGTAATTCAGTTTCAATTGCATAGAAAGCCAACACTGAGTTTTCACATGGATGATCCATTGAAAGCAGTACGAGCGGCATACGGCAAACTTGAGAAT